GACGTTTCGCCGGCATCGTCAGTGAGTCTTCCCATTCTTAGTATCACAATACAACTCGTCAAGGAGACAAGTGAAGTCGATCCTTCGAACAAACAGTTGTGCTATCCACCCTTCTGCCCTGGGCTATTCACATTTCCTATATCCTCCTATCCCACTTTCACTGTTACAATTGGTACCGTGCTTATTTCGATGTAGTCTGGTGTGCTCCTCTGAGCGGCATTCATGAAAACCCTTCACACTCCACGATGTCGTTCTCACCCCCTTCACCCTTGTACTGGGAATTTTAATCAGACTTTACCATATTCTTAAGCAGTTCTGCTTCCAGGGTCCTATCAGAGTCTCCCTCTTGCTCCGTAGGATCCGTCTCCTATCTCCCTGGTTCTAGTATTTCACTCGACCCCACCCACCCTACCTGTGCTACCAGATGCGTTATTTCCCCCACTCTGTGTCTAGGAGACTAACTCGAGGCTAAAGCCCCTGAGTAAGTCTCATGGCCAATCCTTTGCTACATGGACCACGTCTATGGTAGAACAGACCTACTGTCAGCTCTAATCTCCGTCTCTTCTATCCTGTTTTTACCCCTAACACCAAGTCTCTGACTTCCTATGCCCTAGTCTTCTGTGGGCCTACCAACAAATGCTGTGGTACTGCTTGCTTTGATTAGGTTCAAGGTTAAACTACAACATTTGCGGGTTGTCACACAAGAGATTAGGGCATTGGAAGTCATAGAGTTGGTATTACTGATTGAAACAGGATAGACGCGGTGGAGACTAGAGCTAGTTGGCTGACCGTTATCCTGTTTTACAAGATGTGGTCCATGAAGCAATGGCTTTAGCCTCAACTTAGTCTCCCAGAGGCAGAGTGTGGGAAATAACGCTTCGTGGAGCACAGATGGAGTGACAGGGGTCGAATGAAATACTTGGCCAAGGGAGATAGAAAACAGATCTTACGGAGCAAGAGTAAGACACTGATAAGACCTCTGGAAGGAGGACGGTGTAACAATAGGGAATACTCTGATCGACATTCCCAGAACAAGGATGAGGGGGTGTGAGGCTGCGAAAGCCAGTATAGAGTGGGGATAGTTGCCATGACATCCACTCAAAAAGGCACACACCACATTTAAATAAGCAAGTAAAAAGTTGTGATAGTGAAGGTGTGATACGAAGGTATAGGATTGGCGATTAGCCCAGGGTGGAAGGAGAGGTACCACAATTGTTTAGCAGACAATTGGTCTAAGGATCGGCTTCGCTTGTCTCTTTGACGAGTTGTTGTTGCTAAGATTGGCAAGACTCACTGACGATGCCGATGTACCACGTCCACGGTCCGACTCTGGAAAGTCTCATGCATACTATGGACTCCGGACTATGTGCCTTTCTCTAAGTCTTCCTACCATTATGAGCAAGTTGCGAAACCAAGGTCAAACAACTTCTAGTAAATAAGATATTTTGTAAAGCGGAACTCTGACGTCGTCATGAATCTCGTTACTCATCCCATTGGTCATGTTAATGATACTGAAACACGGCCCAAAATGCAGCCCTCGACTTGTGAGAGGCAAGGAAAAGTGAAATTGGATGACTCCGTGAGGCCTATATAAGTCAATATGGAAAAAATCAACTATCAGTCCTTAAATCACCTTACATGACCATGGCTACTAAGCTTTTATAGTTGATTCTATTAAATATCACAGTCAAACAAGTGACAAAAAAGCCGACCTACACATAGAAGCCCTAATATTGGCTTTGATAATGCAAGCTGGAGAAGAGACTTACTGAAAATTGAAGGTTAAAGGCTTACTAAAGCAGCAGCAGGATATCAAGACTATTTGTTATTTTAGTGAGTCCTGCCTTTGCTCAAGTATAGTATTTTCTTTGGTTAGATGCCTACTATGGAGCAGAAAAACATCCAAGAATGTACTCATTCAACACCCTGTGAATAAACCATGAATGGTCTCAGGAAGTCCTTAGTAAAGATGACCTACTTTCCAAAGTTGGAAGTATTGCAGAGAATAACGCACAATATAGGGCATACAATTCGAAAATTCGCAAAAAGTTAAGCAAGTGCCTTATTAGATAAAGCCCATTATAAATCTCAAGAATGTAAAGGAATAAAGTATTCTTAACGCTGGCCTGATAAAAAAAGAGTCGGGCCAACAAATTAGTTTCAACAGTGGTAGTTCGAGAATAAAAGGTTTTCTATTTCATTTTGTTTCTTAATAAAATATCATCCGAATGATCTCGTGCGAAATAACTTTTTGGTTAATGAATAATTTGGAACTTCCTTATTATATAGTAGCTAGTAGCAAATTTATTGCATGAATACGTTTAGCTGTAAGTATAGGGAATTATCAGGAAATACTTCATGCTAAATTAGTCGCGTTGTTCAAGTACTTTCGAACCACTCCTTATTTATCATTCACTCAACTTAGGCATGCCTACTTAAGTTAAAGAACTCACTAATGCTTCTTTCTGGCCTTT